ATTTATCCGTTACCTTTGGTTATTGGTGGCATCTATGAGGGGAAAGTGTTGAGAAAAGATACAAGGAAAGGTAAATGTGCTTGACTAGAGAGGGTGATGAAAGTTAGTTTGTCATTTTTTGGCTGTTGTTGAAAAAATATGAGGAGTTGATATGTTACTTTTTGGCCCCTGCAGGTGATTTTCCCTTTTCTTCGTTATGTTTCTAGTATTCTATCTCTTTCTGATTGTTATTATAGGTCTTTTTTCTGTTAAATAAGTAAGTATAATTTTCTAGACAATGATATATGCATTATAGAAGTCGGGCTTTTGAATGAAGTGAGGGATGATTTCATACTTAAAAAAAAGGGAAATGCTACCATCCCGTTACAGTATCATCCCGTCGGATGTTTTAACCGTTGGATCATCGATTTTATCTAACTACACGTAGATCTAACGGTTAAAACAACCGACGGGATGGTACCGTAACGGGAACATAGCATCTCCCAAAAAAATAAGTTATCTTTGTGTACAGTCACTGGGTTATGCTTATGCAGTGAACTTCTTTTATTCTTTTTGTCTGTTCTTTTTTTTTTCTCTTTCTGACAGATGGCTAGCTAGGGTAACAATGAAGCTCGGAAGATTCACCTTGAGCAGCACTCGAACACGTCTTTTTGTCAGATGATTGAAGTATTTAATGAGCAGACTCGATGCAGCTGAAGACTGCGATTATGAGGTAGCTATGGTCGAAGCTTACTAATGTAAATGCTTTTAGTTCGTATATTGTAGCTCGATAAAAAAAATTCGGAACTGGAATAAATTCCACTGATGTTTTTTAAAAGAATTAATGCTGCTTCCAAGTAAAAATTTAGTTGTGTTGCAATTGTAATCTGAACGATGGTTGGGGCTTGTAAAAGATGAGAACAAGAAATGAAAATATGTGTAACACCAACAACAACATAGCCTTTTAGTCCCGAACAGGTTGGGGTAGGCTAGAGATTAAACTGGTAAGAAAAATACAAAAAGGACTCAAAAACAAAAGGAAGAGATTGGAGCAAAAAGAGAAAGGAGCAAAAGTCACGGTTCTGGCACGTTGATTGCTAGCCTCCAAGCGCTCCTATCCGCCGCTAAATTCTTGAAGATATTTCAATCTTTAAGGTCTCTCTTAACCGACTTTTCCCAAGTGAGTGTAGGCCGACCTCTAACTCTCTTTACTTCATCGACCTGTTGTAGAACTCGCCTACGCACCGATGCATCGGGAGGCCTCCGTTGGACATGTTCGAACCACGTCAGCCGATGTTGAACCAATTTTTCCCCAATTGGAGCCACCCCAACCCTATCTCGAATATCCTTATTTCGGATTCTATCCCTTCTTGTATGTCCGCAAAACCAACGCAACATACGCATCTCTGCTACAATTAGTTGTTGGACATGTTGCATTTTTGTAGGCCAACATTCAGCACCGTATAGCATCGCGGGGCGAATCACCGTCATATAGAACTTACCTTTTAGCCTTTGTGGCACTCTCTTATCACAGAGAACGCCCGAAACTTGACGTCATTTCAACCAACTGGCTGCAATTTTATGCCTAACATCTTCATCAATGCCGCCATCCTTTTGTAGCATCTATCCTAAATACTGGAAAGTCTCCTTCTTGACCACCACTTGTCCGTCAAGGCTAACGTCACAATCATCATGTGTAGCCATGCTGAAAGCGCACGTCATGTACTCGGTCTTCGTCCTACTAAGTCTGAAGCCTTTCGACTCTAACGTGTCATTTCACAACTCTAACTTCCTATTTACCCTTGTCCTACTCTCGTCAACTAGCACCACATCATCAGCAAAGAGCATACACTAAGGGATATCACCTTGTATGTCCCTTGTGGCATCATCCATCACCAAGGCAAATAAATAAGGCTCAATGTTAACCCCTCGTGTAGTCCTATTTTAATTGGGAAGTCGTTGGTATCTCCCTCCTATGTTCGGACAAACGTCGTCGCATCCTTGTACTTATCCTTGATGAGGGTAATGTACTTAAATGAGCCTTTGTGATTTTCTAAGGCCCACCACATGACATTTTCTCGGTACTCTGTCATTAGCCTTCTCAAGGTATATAAAGACCATGTGCAAGTCCTTCTTTTGGTCCTTATATCTCTCCATCAACTGACGTATTAGGAAAATCGCCTCCATGGTCGACCTTCCAGGCATAAACCCAAATTGGTTTTGGATCATACTCGTCACTCGTCGTAGGCGATGCTCGATAACCCTATTGGCTCATCAACTTAATCCCACGGTAGTTACCACAGCTTTGAACATCTCTTGTTCTTGAAGATCGGTACTAAAGTACTTCTCCTCCATTCATCAGACATCTTGTTTGATCGAAAAATGAGGTTAAAAAGCTTAGTTAGCAAAATATGTGCAGCAACAATGTACATTATACAGCAAAAGATGATTTGAAGATGAAATTAAGTAATGATAAACCAAAAGAAAGAGGCACGTGCATGAATGAAATCTTTGGTTCTACTTTTAGTTCCTATTATTTAACTTCAAATATCAAGTTAACAAGAAAAATATCCCATTAGGAAAGAAAAAGGAGAAAAAAAAAGCATCCAAAGATTAAGGGATTCGCAGAAATTGCTGTGGGAGGAGCATTGGACAACAATGCCCCTCCCTCTTCACCCTCATTTTTCAGCACCAAACCCATAATCTCTATGGAAATCGATAAATCAGTTTCCTCTTGATCCTTTTTCTTGATGGTTTATTTAGTAACTAGACAAAACCCTCAGGGTAGCTTTTGTAATTATCCTTTGATTAATGCTACTATATATTTTCATGTTGATTTGTGTATGTGAGGGTTCATTGTCGAAAAGCTTTGAAACCATTACAATACAGCCATTTGACAAAAGGTGATTGAGTTCT